CTTAAAAGCTAAGCAAAAAGAGTCATCCTTGGATAAAACCATCTTTGGCCAAATATCTCTAGTGTTCTTGTGAGCTTGAACTTTTTCAATTATGCTTCACCTCCTTTGGTCGAATAAATAAAGTCATTGTGCATTTGAAATTGCATGTGATAAGGCCGAAAATATGATAAGGCTTTTAGTGTCATTATGCATGCCAAATTATCCAAGTGAGCTTTATCTTTTCTTGTAATTTAAATTAACCGAATGGTGTATGAGTACTTCGTGGATGCAAATTCCTCTCTTGTTACATGGTTGAATGACATTGAACCAAGAAGGTTTAACGACTGCATTATATTGCATGATCGAAAGTTCCCTTGCATGCATGGATTGCATGTTTTCCTCATACAAAGGCTTTAAACCCTAAAATGTATGAAAATAACATTAAGGCACCAAAAGTTGACCAAATTTTAAATTTTAGCATCAATTTTTACTAGTAAAATTACTATATTTTTAGATGCTATCACTATGTATCTTTTATATCTAAAACAAAAAAGTCAACTAGAATAGCATGTTTACCCATTTAAAAAAAAATATTCTCCAATATTTCTTGTGGTTTCTTTGTAGATCTATCAGTAAATTTGATGTTGAAATTTAAAGGTCTTAGTGCATTAGCTCCAAGCTATAAAAAAAATTCAAAAGCATTAAATTTATATTAGACCTCAAATCACATAACGCTTTATCAAAATATAAGTGACCAATAGAACATAAAATGCTTAAACTCCCTAGGTCATCTTACTTAGTTGGAAGATGTTGTTGAAGTGTTAGGCTACACACATTAGCAAGTGTAACATTCTTTAACTCCTTAACTAGCTATTTCCATTTAAGAGTTGGCATTGATTGGGATACTTCAAATGTTTTTTTTTTTGGTTCGACATTCTTGGAGTCATTCTTACTCTTTTTACTTCATGATTTTCTTTTTGCACTTTCTCTTCAGGTTCTATACTTTTCAAGATAGCCCTTCTAACTTGTATGAATTCTTCATCTTCGCTAGCCAAATTCATATATTCCTCCTCAATTTGTTGTGGATCCTCTTCTTGAACTTTTCTTCAAGGTTTTTTTCAATTTTGAAGTTTTTATTCATCTCCTTAGGCTCATTTTCTTTAAATGTTTTCTCAAACTTCAACTACCATTGGGTTAAAACTTTGTAAAATTTCCCTTCCAAACTGAAGTAATACTTTATCTCCCATGGTTGATTCCTTTTTAAGGAATTCATTATTAGACCTTTTTACAAACTTGGTAAAGTTACCACTATAAGCTCATCCATCAAATCATCCTCATCATCATCAAATAAATAAGTCCCCTCTTCATTATAGGAGTATGTGGCATTGCACACCTCCTTGCCTTGTTTCTTAGGGTTTGACTCGATATTACTTGGCAAGGATCCTAATAGGTAGTTGGCTAAAGCATTGGCTAATTGGTCAATTTGAACTTTTAGGTTTTTGATAGAGGTGACTTAGCTTTAAATGGTGGCATTATGGTTTTGCATGAGTTGAAGAAGCATCTTCTCAAAGCTAGGCTTCTTTTCTTGGGATAGATTGTAGGTTTGTTGGTTTGGGTGAAAATTTGAGATTTGGTTGGTGTTTTGGTGGTTGGGTTGGTTTTGATTCCAAAAAAAGTTTGGTGGATCCTTTAGCTTGGGTTATAGGTTTTGCTATAAGGATTGTAGGTAGGTTTGGTTTATTGGGCATATTGTACAGTTTTTACCCTAAATTGGTACCTATCTGAAGAGTGTGGTCCTTCACAAATATCATAAACCATGAATGGGCTTTGGATGGCTTGGACAAGAGTGATTAGGGGTTGGGTTTCTAAGGCATCAATTTTCTTGGTTAAGCTAACTAGTTGGGATGTGATGGAGGTTAATGTGTCAAGCTCATATACCTCATTAGCTTTCTTATGAACCTTTCACTTGTTTCCCCATTGATAGTTATTTGTAGTCATCTCCTCATTTAATTCGTAAGTTTCCTTCACTAACTTACCCATGATAGCTCTTCTAACAATTGAATCTAAAGTTGTTCTCATTGGTGGTGTCAGCCTGTTGTAGAAAATTTGTATTTATAGCCATTGTGGAAAACGTGGTGTGGACATTTGCACAACAATTCTTTATACCTTTCCCACGCATCATATAATGTTTCGCCATCAAACTATTGGAAGGTGGTTATTTCATTCCTTATACCTCATTTCTCTAATATCAAAGATTTTCATAAAAATTTGATTTTTCATTAATAATATTTTTTAATTTTAATGAATTTGACGAAAAAACCTCTTCAAACATGACAAATAGTCTTTTTTAATACTCTTAAGGTGAAGAAACATTCTTAGATTCTTACCAACATATTGGAATAATTTAAGAATATTTTCCAATATTAAATTATTTGGTAAATTTTTTAAGTTTTGGATGACACAAAATCAACTGGTAATGTTCTTTAGATGGTTGTTGTGGGGTTACTATAACATTCCCTAAATGTAATCGTATTAGAATCTACCCCTTTAAAGAACTTGAGTCAAATTTAGATCTTTTTAAAAAGGGATAGATTCAATTAGGTAGCCCATTTACACATAAACAAAAAGGTTGGTAAAGACTCTATGTTTGTATCTAATGATATAGTTTTCAGACTTATACATTGTGACATTGTCCTATAAAAGTAATGCATGATTAGGGTATTTGAGTTTAAAGTTTTCTTTATCATACCTTAACCCTAGCCTTGTATTATAAGCTTATTAAAGTACTTTTGATCTTTGGTTTTTATTGAGCTACATTAGTAGAGAGATATGACAAGCAAACATATGAAATGTGATTACTTTTTAAAGATGCTTTGTTCCTATTTCATGTTTGCATAATCAAAATAAGATATTGTGTGATAAAATGAGAGAGTATTGCACAAAATAGAACTTTAATTATGTAGAAGCCTACTCTAGGATGATTTGTATTGTTTAGCCAATGTTTGTGATTTTCCTTGAATTATACTCATTAAGCAATCTATGAGGAAGCCATAACCACTGGAAGTATATTTTGGTTCTAGCATGATTTTATTTTGCTTGAGGATAAGTAATTTTGCAATGACTAAAAATATCATAACAAAATGTCTTTATATTTGTAATGATTTTCAATAGTTGTTGCTTATTTAAATGTTTTATATTTTAAACAACGATAATTTTTTTTGTTGCGAATTCCTATCAAATAAGAAATGATAAAAAAAAAATTGTTACAAAATCCTATTATATTTGCAATGACTTTTCATTGTCATTCTAAGTAATTTTTTTAAATATTTTATACAATGACAAAAAAGATATTGTGATATCTATACCATATTCATAATGACCCAAAAAATCATTTCAAAATCTTATCATATTTACAACAAATTCTCATAGTTGTCATATTAAAAATTTCTTAATACTTTATACAACGATAAAAATAGTTAATATGAAATCTTTTTATTTTATTAAAAAGAAAAAATATATATAGTTACAAAATCTAATTATATTTATAACAAATTTTTAAAATTTTTTGCATAATTGAATGTTTTTAATGTTTTATACACCAACAAAAATAACGGTTAAAAAATCTAATTAATTTCTTATTAATAAAATTATTGTTAATATTTAAATAACAATAATAATATTATATACAAAAAGAAATATAAAATAATTTTTAATAGTATCAAACAATACCAACATATATTTTTTTTTTTGTAGAAAATTACATTGATAATACTCTCATTATAGATGAAATTTTAATGGGAATTATTTTTAGTTTTATATATTTTTAATATCAATTAAGAAATTATCAAAAAACTTAAGGGTGTTTGGTTCCCGAAAATTAGATTTTGAGGAAAAAATGTGATCATTGAAAAAGTGATACCCAATTTTTTTTCCATTTTCAAGGCATCCTTTGTTTAGATTTACTCATTTGATTGGAGAAAATCCACGTATATTATTTCTTATATAATTATCATAATTTCCTTGACATATATGATGGTAACTTTTTATTTTGTTTTATAAATAACAAATACCCAAATGACAAATAACGTCTTTAGCAGCAAAAAAATTACTATGTTTATTTATAAAAATATCATCAATTGAGGCATTTGGCATTTTTTTTAGTAACAGAAATTGATAAGAAAAATTGTTAGAAAAAAGATCAATTAATGTATTTGTCACTTTTTTTATATGATGAAAAAATTAAAAATATTCCTTTAATTTATTTATAAAATGATCATTTAAGATATTTCTGTACATAAAACCCCTTAAATAATCATTTTATTATTTAAGACATTTTATGTGCAGAAACGCCTTAAATAATCATTTTATTTTTTTGTATTATGGATCATTTAATAATTATTCTTTAATTTATAAAAGGATTATTTAAGACGTTTTTGTACAAAAAATGCCTTAAATAATCCTTTTACAAAAATATTAACCCTAAACCTTAAATCCTAAAATATAAAAAGAATATTTAAAAAATCCTAAAATATAAAAAGATTATTTAAAATATTTTTTTGTATAAAAACGCCTTAAATAATTCTTTTATAAAAATATTAATCCTAAACCCAAACCCTAAAATATAAAAAGATTATTTAAGCTATTTTTTTATGCCAAACACCTTAATTGTAATATAGAAAATATTTAATTTTTTGTACAAAAACCTACAACTGAGTTTTAGTTACTTCCAAATATATTTTTCAAAAGGGTAATAACTATTTCATTATTTTTTATTTAGATCAAATTTAAAAATAAGGTAACTTTTTTCCTCCAGAATCTTAGAATATCACTAGGATAAGTGAGTTTCTGATTCTAAAACTTCGAATACTATTAAAAATTTGATATTTTTTCATGTAATTAAATTACTTTAAACCAAACGTAAAAATCAAATATCCAATATCAAAACTCTAAAAAAAAAAAAAATTATAAATTCTCTTGAACCAAACTTACTTTTTAAAGAATTTTATTTAGCAACTCCCACTAGTAAATTAATAAAACCCTAATTTTTCTCATATTTCTCATTTCTCAATTCTCATTTTTCTTTTCTTCTCGAACCTCCCTTCCAAGCCATCTGATGGCGCCTCTATCCTCACTTCTAGTTGTGCCGTTGCTTGCATCATTCGCACTTTTGCTAACAGCCACCCTAGCCAGCGCCTACCCCCTATGCAAGCTACACACCTTCACTGCTTGACCACTAGATATGGGAAAAAGCTTGAAGATTATATTAAAAAGCTTTGGAGGTAATCTCTTTTAACCTTCAATTTTGTTCCTATGTCTTCCATTTAGGTAATCTCTTCAATTCTTTCTCTCTTTTTTCTCTGATTTCAAGTTATACTTTTTGATTTAAAAAATTACTTTTCTCCGTGATTTCTCAATCTCAATTTTTGTTTGTTATCTTTTTTGTTTGATTTTGGTTTTTCTTTTTATCTATAATCGAGATCTTTCAATTTGGTTCTATAGGTTTGCTTGTTTACTTCTTCAATTCAATATGGTTAGTCTGTCAAATCTCTTTAGGAGGTTCGAAGGTGATTTTTTGGATTTTGTGATTATTTCATGTTCTGGTTGAACTTCAATTTCTCGAGTTTTCTTCTTGTGAACTTCTCACTTGAAGATAGTTTATATTTGATAATGCTGATCAGTAGATTATTAGCATTGCTTGATCATTTTTACTCAATAGTTTTCATATAGAAGTTCACTTATCTGTCTTAATTTTAAAGCATTTCTCCAATAAAGTACAACAAATATGAGATAATGACAAATAATAGGAGTTTTTTTTTTTTTTTGGCTTAAGTTTTAAATCAACTTTAGAGAAACATAAATATTGCAATGGGTGTTGCTTGTATTAGCTTTGATTGGAACTTGCATGGTTATTGAAGATGAGGTGCTCACACTCAAGATAAAATCTGGGTTTTTGGGTTTTACTTGGAAGTTTGGGTGGTTGATTAGTACTTGAGAATTTCTCTATTTTTACAATTTTTTCAGTACTGTCAGGCCTAAAGCGTTCTATGTCCAAAGAGAAACATCGACGTAAGTGCTTTTGATGATTTTCCAAATTTTCATTGTAATTGGTTTGTCCTTATATTCCTTTTTTATCATGTTTGGTTACTTTGTAACATTAGATTATTCATTTTACTAGTGGGCTTTTATCTGTCTTCCTACATCTTTTAATATTTTAGAACTTAGTTTGAAGTAGTCAATACTTAATAGCAATGTTTCATTAAGGGTAATCTTTTTAAAATGCAAGAACCAGTCAAATGCAAATACTTGGCAAATACAACTTACCTGTCAAAAGTGCATATATAGGTTGATATCAAATTGTATATCAACATAACAATTTTTTTTTTTTCAACTTTCTTTATATATGGTTTAGTGTGTGCATGTTTTTGATACTAATGTTGTAACTTTTAGCATTGACTTGAAAGCCACTTGCTTTTTTCTTTATGTTGGTTTTATAGACTTTCCACCCCATCGAAATGAGTAAGTACATGGATTTGCTACACCATCAACTGTGAAACCAACTTAATGGAGTTGTAAGTTTTAAATCTTAAATTAGCAAGTTATTCTTGAGAATAAAATTAGTTCATTAATAAAATTATTTTTTAGAGTAGATCCAGGTGGTGGAATCAAATTCCTGTATAGTATACAATATTAGGAGATGTTAGGTTTATATATTGTCAAACAATTTACAAAGCATGTCAATATAAAATATTATCTTACCAAGACTTTTGTTTTTGTCATGCAAGTTGAGTCCTTTCTACAAACAACCTGTTCATTCTTTCAAGTTATTTTTACCATGGAATATTATTGTTTCATTACATTAGAGCAAGATTACATTCAGAATCTTTTATTTTACTAATTTAGGAATTTTAATTGTTCTAATATATTTTAGGATAAATATATTGTAAATGAGAACAATATATATTTTAATATGTTAATGTTAATTTTCTTTTAAATTTCTTTTTCTACTCATGAAATTTTATTAAATTTTGAAATTCATTAATTGTAAATATTTAAATTATCCATTCTTTGATAATTTATCATTTTGTGAAAAGATTATTCACAACAATAATATCGATTATTTGAGTTTTTTATGTCATTTGAAAAAAAATTAGAAATGACAAAATTGTGGTTTGTCGTTTGGCAACAATTATTCTTGTTATTAATTTAACTATTGTAATGACAAAGTAATTGTTTTCAAAGATGATTTAAAACAAAAAATTATTGCATTGCAAAAGAAAAAAAATTAAGCAATCAAATTAATGTTGTTTCGTAAAAGTTTTCGTAACCAAATATGTGGTTGTTAAAGGAAAGTTTTGACAACCACATTAAGTAGTTATTTAAACATAATTTATTTATCAATGAGATAATGTTGCTTTAATAAACATTTTTTAAAACGGCTTTTTCATACGATGAAAATTGTTGCACATATTTTTAACAACATAAGTAATGACAACAGCCTTCCAATGATAATTTTTCATTGAGAAAAGGTTTTAGCAACGAAAATTGCTATTTCGCTATGACATTAAGCATTGGTAAAATAAATTTTTCTACTAATTCAGGCATCGGTAATTCAGGCATCTTAAGATGACTAATCTTTGAGAATATGGCTTGGCATATGTGTGTGAAGTTAAGTGACATTGTTAACCTGATTCTTAATAGCTTCACTAATAAGATTTTTGAGTTGACTAGTAATGACCACTTTGTTGAGTGTTTTTTTGAGAATCTTTGGCAACTTCAGTGCTAGAATTCTCACATCATCTTAAAGGATTGAGTGCCGATTTTGGTTTGAAGTGGTGGGTCATTTTCTAATCAGATTACTAATATTCGTCATCATTGAGGCAATCTGGTTATCCTTTTTTGTTTTTATGTAGAGATTCTAGAGTTTTTGTAATAAGCGTATCTTGTTTTTCTAATGATGTAGCAATTACTGTAAAATTTTCTTTTGAAGAAGATGATGAAATAGAATTGTTGCTTGAATAGTTATGTTATTCCTCAAATAATTACTAGTGGCTTGCAGTTGATCTATGAAAAGAAGTAGCCCAACAAAAGCTTCTTCAAAACCTTGAATTGAACAAAAAGTGTCATAGAGTGGATTTAGGTTGGCGATAAAAGAATTTAAGCATGCATTCATTTCTTCAAGAGCTTTTGTGTTTCTTCTAGTACCATACAGGTGAGTAGGAACATTAGGGCTTGATGATGAAATAGGGTAAACTACAAGATTTACTTGTGCAGGATTAAGAGTTAGTTTGTTAGAAAGTTCTTAAGGTAAAGATTGTCCCACTGAATGTGTTAGAAATTTGTATATAAATTTTTGAATAAAAAATAAGATTGAAAAAATTGGAGATAAATAACAATTTTATTTATTAGACATGAAAATTACGACCTTAAAAAATTCTTAAAATAAAGAAAAAAAAATCTTTTGATTCTTTTTATTTCATGAAAAATCCGTTTTAAAAGTTCCAAAATTTGTTCATGAACAAACAAAATTGATTTCCTTCCGAGTTTTTTGAAACTTTTTTAGTTCTTCAATCTTTAGAGCTTAATTCTTGAGATTTTGTAAAGGCTTTGAATTTTCAAAATCTTCTGGTTCTTTTAGAAATTAAAACTTGTGTCAAAGGACCTGGAGGAAAGTCGTATTTGTAATGCCAATCTATTAGCAGTGACAAAATTTTAGAAGAACTTAAGATTTTTTTTTATCCTTAAATTATTTTAATTTAATTAAAGATAAAAAAATGATAACTCATCGTATTAAACTTAATTGAATAACTCGTGAGTTTTTTAAATTTGATTGTCAAAAATTTAAATATATTTATAAATAATTTTAATTTAATTTAAAGATAAAGAAAATAACTCATAAATGAATTTTGATTAGATAAAATTTAGATTCATCTCTAAATTATTTGAATTTAATTTAAAAATAAATTAGATGACTCATAAATGAATTTTGATTAATCAAACTATGAATCTTTGAATTTTTATTGAAATATTAATCTTTGAATATTGATTAACCAATGTAAGTGTATTTATATTTAATTAGTAAGTGATATATTTAATTAGTCACAAATTAATTACTTTTACTAATTAATTATAGGTTTGGTCATTGTCACACGAGCATTGTTATCATATGAAAATTCATTGCAATGTATTTGTGACAATTGGTAATACCGCAATAGCCAATAACGGCGTTGTTCATTGGTTATTATATTCAAACACTATTAAGAAAGAAACACGGTAAAAGGATAAAACTTTTTTTCAACGATGCCAAATTTCATTTTAGATTTACCAAAATTCCAAATAAGATAGTCTTGTTCATGCGATCCAAATTATTAATTTTATTTTTATCAATTATATTGGTCGATATGTTTTAATTAAATCAAAATATAATATATTTAAAATTAATCTTTTGTATAATATTTGATATCAGATAATATCAATTATTTTTATTAATTTCAATATGTTTCAATTAATTTTGGTAGATTAGCATGTTTCAATTAGTATGTAAATATAAAATATATTTTATAATTTTTAACTTATTTTTTGTTATTTAATTATTTTTAATCAAATAAAAATAAAATTAATTAACAAAATAACTCTTGAAAATTGAATTTTTTAATTTTTATTATAATTTGTGTTTTGTTATACTTTATTTTTTCAAATCAAAATTTATAAATATTTCAATCTCTTTCAAGAAAATAATTATACTCTTTTTATAAAGTTTAACAATAATAAAATCTTGATTATTTTTTTTATCACTTTATTTTTATCTTAATATTTATATAAAAAATATTTATTTAAATATTATATGATCAAATTAAGTATTTAAAAATATTATGAAAATTTTATAATATTATTTCTTATATTTTTAAATTTATTTAATTAATTTTTAAAAATATTACATATTTATTTTATAAATTATTAATATTATTATAATGTATAAATTCATACATATTTATAAATATATTTATATTCTAATATATGAAAATAACAGAAACTAATATATATAATTTTTTTAAAAAAATCCAAATATTATTCGGTATAATAATGCCAACCTTATTCCAACATTTCAATGTGTAGGAGCCTGCAGGACAGCCGCGATAAAATTGTTAAGGGCTTTAGACTTAAGAGGATCGCGAATGTAAATTACGAATATTCTTTTAGCTTTTCATGTCTTAGGCATTACTTGATTTTCAACTCTAAACGCTTGCACAAATTGTTTTCTCTTTCGTCAATTTCAAGGCTTGAAGACTTTGTGCTTGGTATTCCATCAAATTGTCAGCCCACCGTTATTGGCCGTTGCCTACGCATTTCTTACATCATCCCATTTTGTTTGACAATTTCCGAGATTATGCAGGAAAAAGACAAACGATGAATCCAACGCAAGCGGGAACGGCAGAAGAATTCAAAAGCTCTGAGTTAAAATATTAGCAGTAGCTTTGATTCTCCTTCTCTCTTTTACCAAAGTCTTGAAAAGTTGTCAGTGCAACTTTTGTCTACCCTGGTTTATTGGTTGGAAACGACGTTTAGGAATAGGACACGGTTATGACCGCACAAACAATGGACTTTTATATTTTACTATATAATACTAGCCTATTGAGTTTTAACGCAAAAAAAATCAACTTAAGTTAAGGAAGTTGAGCTATTTTTTATGGGATAAATGAGTTTAATTAAATGAATTAAGTACCTCCATTTTTATATTGGTTCAAATTTAAAAATTAAAACTCAATTGTTGAATTTTTAACAATAAATTTTAAATGAAGCTTAAATTTTTCATTATATTCACTTAACTCGATTACATCTCTACCTTTACTGTCATCATCCATACTTGAGATTGTTGACTTTCTAATTGTCCTCCTCTTCGGAGTGAAACAATAATAAAGGGGCACAAAAGGCCAAAATTTGGGCGGTCATTTTTATCCTAATTCTGATGCTATTTGGTTAAATAGCAATTTGTAGATTCATTCAAAGTCAAGTATTTCATATCATTTTGATACATCAGAAATAGATTGTGTTCTCATTTGAACATAAGGAAGTTGCAGTTTGAATTGCAAACTGGTTATCAAATGGGTGTTCTGTTTTATGCCAAATTAGAAACAGAAACGAAATAGTTGAAGGTCTTCAACTCTCAACTCTGAAAGCTTTTGGTTTATCTCAGAAATGGGTTCTGCCATTTGGTTTCTTTCGCTACATGTTTTTATTCAAATCTATACCATAGTAGCTACAACTGATGCTGGTGATTGTAAGTTTGCCTCTAATTATTACTTCTTTTTCCTATAGTATAGTTTTGTTGTTCTTTAGCTTTGCTTTGGAGACAATGTAATTTAATTATATATATTCTATCCAAGTTTTTTTTAACTTGTTGCAAAGCTGATTTTTTCTTGAAGATTGAACATTCTCGCATAAAAAACTTATAGTGCTGGTTAAGTTGAGTAGATGAGAATATGTGATCTACCTATGTTTGCAAAGATGAACTTGCCTACTCAGAACTGGATATTGGAATTTAGTCAAACCTTCATGGAAAGAGGATGGTCTTGACTCTAAAATGCTTGTAGCTCTTAGTTACTTGGTCCGGGGTCAACCCTTTAAGCAAATCCACAAACACAAGATGCCTGAATCTGAGTCAAATTGGAGGGCTAAATCTATTTGTAATCCTTCCATGAGTCGAATGATTTGGAAATGCTACCTCAGAATTCAGCTTTGGTGTTTGATCAAGGGATACTGTTGTCCAATTCTTTTGCAGCTACTGCTCTAAGATCGCTCTGGAATGAGTGGAAAAACGTACCTCCCAGTTGGGGGAGTGGGGACCCTTGTGATGATGGTTGGGTTGGAATTGGATGCACTGGTTTACGTGTGACCTCAATGTAAGTTTTTGCGGCTTCAGACCTTTTAAAACATTGTTTAGTTTGGTTCTTCCAGCTTTGGGATTTTATTTAACATTTATCTATTTCAGAACATTGCCAAGCATGAACTTGGTGGGAGGGCTGTCAGGAGACATTTCAACCTTATCTGAATTGCAGCAATTGTAGGTCCTTTTGCCCACTGTCTGCCTCCATTCTTCATGGATGTCATTATGCAACTGGTTTTTTTTTAACCATCCTTCTAGATAAAGGTTTTCTTTTTTTTTCAACATGTAAATGTTAGTTTTTTATTTTTAAAAGATTCATCTCTGCAGACTTCAATGTTTAGGTATTTAAAGGTTTGCTCTTTGGGTACAAGGGATATGCTAATTCTTATAGACCTACAAATAAAAATAAAATTTTTTTCTTTGATTTTTTTCAATGAATAATATATCAATTTTTTATGAATAGTTAGAGGCAGTAGTTTCCATGGTTAGTATAACATCTCTGATTTGGCTTCATTTTTCAGGGATCTATCTTACAATAAAGGTCTCACAGGATCTCTTCCATCATCAATTGGAAATTTAAAGAAGCTAACAAACTTGTAAGGAGATCTATTTCCTGCCAAAGCATCACCTGGAAGCAAATTTCTTCATGCAACTCTCTTAAAAGACCTCTTTTATTTATTTATTTATTTATTTTTTATAAATGGCAGAATCTTGGTTGGTTGTGGTTTCATTGGTCCAATTCCCGATACGATAGGATCCCTGCTGCTGCTGAGGTTCCTGTAAGAATTTGATCTTTAATACTTATTCATCTGGAGTGACTAACAAACATTCAATTCCATTTGGATTCTAGTGATTTGCCATGTTTTACTATTAAGTAAAGGGCATTACCTCGGCTTCCAGTATAACTTTGGTTTGAGGCTCCATGATGATGGGTTGTATAATGTTTTGAATTCACTATTTCTACTTGTTATTCTTTTACCTCTTTTAATCAGAGTACTTTCATGCTGGGCTATACTACCTGCAGATCTCTAAATTCTAATGGCTTCACTGGACATATTCCTCCATCCATTGGTAACCTATCAAATCTTTATTGGTTAGACCTGGCCGACAACCAGCTCGAAGGACCAATCCCAGTTTCAAATGGATCTACACCAGGGCTTGACATGTTGATTAATACCGGACACTTGTATGCTGAATTTCTTTGTAGTTTTATCTGTTTAGATGCTTTTCTTGCCATGGTTCTATTTTCCTTATTGTAATGTTCTTCATCATCCACAGCCATTTTGGGAAGAATAAACTCTATGGCCAAATTCCATCTCAACTTTTCAGTTCAGAAATGACTCTGATACATGTGTAAGTTCGATTCAGTTTTCTATCAAGTGGTTTTGCAGTATATTACTTGACTTTCCTGGAAAGAGCTTTGCAAAAGACAAAATCTATTCTGAACTAGAGAAAAGGACGCTTTTGTATAACTAATTTCTTCTGTAAACGATGATTTCTGTCTCAACCTTTAACAGCCTGTATAAAAGGGTGCTTCTTCATATTTGAAACCATCCTACTGAAGGAGAGCTAGACATGAATTCTTGCTCTCGTTTTTTTTTTTTTTTTAAGTAGATGCAAATTTTTGTAAAAGCTCCTTCTGCCTAATCTTTTCTTTAATGTGATGAAATTCAAGAAATAACAGCATGATTTTGTGTACATTTGAAACATTTCTTTTCCTCTCTCTGTGCCAGGCTATTTGAAAGCAACCAACTCTCTGGAACTCTTCCTTCCACCCTTGGACTGGTGAAAACTCTGGAGGTGGTGTGAGTATCTAGATCAAGAAAAAGATGGAATTCATGCAGAGGTTTTAAATGAAGTGAATTGCTACAGGGTTTTTTATGAGGACTGATAAATTTATTGTGCTGGCTACAGACGCTTTGACAACAATTCACTAAATGGGCGTCTTCCATTGAATCTCAACAATCTTACAAGTGTTCAAGATCTGTAAGCTATGAACATAAATGACTGATAGTCTTCTGCACTTATTTATCTAGGATGGAAAGGAACTATTATCCTCCCTTAATTAAGAGTATTTGATGTTGATTTTTAGGTTTTTGTCCAACAATGTGCTGACTGGCCCTCTGCCTGACCTTACTGGTCTGAACAGTTTGAACACCTTGTAAGTAACAAATGCTTTAGTAACTCTACCATAATATAGTGAAGTCTTTTAGTCTTCTCAAACTACACTCCAATGCCCGTCCTCTTATTCTTATTCCTTGCATATTTTTGGGTGTCTCCAAGTGAAATTCTGCTTATCATAGTTGTCTTGGTTAATAACAGTACACAATTTTATTGTCATTACTAATCTTTGTTCTATTACATGATGGGCAGATACCTGAGTAATAATAGTTTCGATTCATCAGATTTTCCTTCGTGGCTTGCAGCCCTGCCGTCCTTAACAACACTGTATTTTCCTCCTCTCTCTCCTCTCTCTCTCTCTTTGTACACAGATATATGAAATTTAACTGAAGATTGAAATATCTTTACTGTTTTAAGTATAGAACCAAAATTTTTCTTCAACCGTTTGATATAATCTAGGACCATGCATTCTTCTATATCATAAGCCACATCTTTTTCCACGGTGGTGTTACTGTGCTGGTAGCTTATAGCCTTGTTGACACTTGCTCATCGTTTAGCATGTCCTCCATCTTCCCTTAAAATGATAATATTATCAAATATGCTTAAATATAGTGCTCGCCTGGGAATTGTAAGATTATTAATCTAACCTTGGATATGATATGATGCGAAAAGCTTTCTTTGTTTACTTTTTCTGTCTGCCTCTTTCAACATATATGTGTCTGCAAAAGTATTTCTGTCTGCATTAGTATTCCCCTCACAACACCTTATTGTCTGTATATCTTCTTTCTGGAGTTGGGAGAATAATCAAATCATATGTATGGCAGAATGATGGAACATACTCAACTTCAAGGTCAAGTTCCTGCCACATTCTTTACGCTTTCAAATTTGCAGACTGTGTGAGTATGCTTGACCTTATGTAGAACCGATTGTACTAGAAATGAGGATCTAAACAAAATTTGTCACATAGTTGTCACAAAATTGAAATGACAGTTGGATTTTCCCCCCTTTTGCTGTTATATTGTTGACAGGGTACTAAAACACAACCAACTCAATGGTACGTTGAATATTGGCCCAGGCGTTAGCAACCAGCTGCAAATGATAGATTTGCAAACTAATCTCATTTCTGGTTTCAAAACAGTGCAGGAACATACACCTTTGACATAATGTAAGCCATAATTCTTTGACCAAATGTCTGGGCATTTTGTTTTCTCTTTTATTTTGCCGAATAGCCAGGCTCCGTATATTCATACTCCTTGGAAGTTGAATTGCCTGCAGATATGTAGTTGATGTTAAAGATTATTAATGCTTTTGAAGTTCTTTCTACCAATTTCTGCAGACTTGTGGGTAACCCAGTGTGTGATGAGACAGGAGCAACAAACACTTACTGCACACTACCCCCATCAAATTCCTTGCCTTTGTATTCAACCCCTCCAAAGAACTGTCAGCCTAATTCATGCAGTTCTGGTCAAATTTCTAGTCCCACATGCAGATGCGCATATCCATATACAGGAACACTACAATTCAGAGGCTTTTTCTTCTCCGACTTGAGAAACCGAACTCCATATGAAACTCTTGAGCAGTCTCTGATGCAGTTCTTCCAGTCCCACCAGGTTCCTGTGGATACTGTTTCACTAAGTAATCCACGGATGGATTCATTTGAATATCTTCTCGTGAACCTTAGTGTATTTCCATTTGGTCCAAATAGTTTCAATAGAACTGGAATTTCAATGATTGCATTTGCATTTAGCAACCAGAGTTTCAAGCCTCCTCCAGAGTTCTTTGGACCTTATGTTTTTCATGGTGACACATATGAACAGTTTTCTGGTAAAGCACATGCAATAGAACTAAAATGAATTTGTAAATTTTTGTTTATTTAGGTTCATCATTTTACTTGCATGTGTGTTGTCATCTAGATGAACCTGCAAGCTCAAAAAAATCAAGCATTGCCATAATAGGAGCAGTAGCTGGTGCTTCAGTGCTTTTTCTGCTATTGCTGCTTGCTGGGATTTATGGTTATCGTCAGAGGAAGAGAGCAGAAAGAGCAACCAAAGGGAACAATCCTTTTGGTATGATAAGTATTTCATTCAGCCTTTTCCAGTTGATTTTATGGAATATCACGGATTTATGACTGATTCTTTTTTGTAAAAACGTAGCACACTGGGATTCTAAGAAGAGCAGTGGTAACATACCTCAGTTAAAAGGAGCAAGATGCTTCTCTTTTGAAGAGCTTAAGAAATACACAAACAATTTTTCGGAAGCCAATGATATTGGATCGGGGGGTTATGGAAAGGTTAATTTTGACTCTCATTCTCCCTTTGTATCGCATGTGTGCTCATCAAAAACATGCATCCCTATGACACCTTGGCTCCTTGAGGTGGTCTCACATGCCCAACTCCATGTCCTGTTGTTTATTTGGACTAATGTTTGTTTGCAGTGAGACACATTGAAATTTGTAACTTATTGCGAATGGTGGTCAAGGCAACAGAGGATGTGGTCAAACAGGCACATATTTAGATGCATGATTTTCAGAAATATTTACTAGTATATATATGAAATAAATTTGTCGTTTTATCCATGCTTTCATCTAAGCCCCTAGCACTAGCCCCTTTTGCGCACTATGTTTTCATTGAATTTCTTACCTTAAAGAAGGGAGGTTTTAAATAGATTACTATGTTATTATAAAAAAAGGCTAAAATATCAGAAAAGCCCGTGAACTATTTCACTTTTCTAAATAAACCTTGACACTTTTATTGTGTCCAAATAAACCCTCGTACTTTGATTTGTATCCAAATAAGCCCTTATTTTAAATTAAAAAATGATTTATGTTAGGGGTTTATGATACAAATTAAAAGTTTAAGAGCTTATTTAGATACAAATTAAAGTTTAAGGGCTTATTTAGGTGCAAATTAAAGATTGAAGACTTATTTAAATACAATAAAAGAATAAGGACTTATCTAGGTAAAGTTATAAAGTTCAAGGGCTATTTTATTATTTTAGCCAAAAAAAAAAAAAACTTAATGGGAAAGGAAAGTGATAATAACCATACAGAGAATTATACTTTGCATATAAAGATATAATAACAAAGAATAAGTTAGTAACTTCATTTGTGTGCTCCAAGACCATGTAGAGAGTGTTTGCTTACATATTTAAAATGTCAACTGGAATAGTTGACTGTGATCCACAAATGACGTATGTAAGATTTTTTCTGTAGTTGTGGCGCTTGTGCTTGTGCATGTATAAACACCTATGCATCCAGGATATGTCTATGTTCACATAAAGTACTCTTGCTCCGTTCTTTCACTATTACATAGCACTATTGTAAGTAGATGACAGCCAATCAGTATGCCGTAGGCCAGATTACATATTAGATAATTTATGCATTCCTTTTCATGCTATGTTGTGCTCATAAAAGTTTACATGCAGTGTATTGATCTCAATCGCGCAATACAGTGATGCTATATTAATCTGCTTACTGTTATCATATGCCATGAATTGCAAACTTTTGTGAATAAACCAATAGATTAACAAGACTACTTCTGTATTTATTTTCCAACCTTTGCTCCTACTCACCTGTGTTTTCATTTGTTCTGTCTCTAACTATTTCTCTAACTATGTCAATGTTTTTAAAGTTGTTTTTCCAAACAATTCTGAATTTCTTTAGTTACAGGTTTATAGAGGAACTCTACCCACCGGGGAACTTGTTGCCATCAAACGAGCTCAGCAAGGATCTATGCAGGGAGGGCTCGAATTCAAAACAGAGATTGAGCTTTTATCAAGAGTTCATCATAAAAATGTTGTCAGTCTGTTGGGATTTTGCTTTGAGCAAGGTGAACAAATGCTAATATATGAGTATGTTCCTAATGGCTCTCTTAGTGACAGTCTGTCAGGTATCTTCCTCTGTTTCCTCACTTTATTGATCCAAATTGAGTTACATTATCAATAATTAAATGGCATTTTTCAGTGCAGACATGCTCACATTCTTCATTACCTGACCATATTACTTTTTATCTAACAATGTCCTTAACTGCACCAAGAAATGAAATAATTTTTTTATGAGCCTGCACTACAGTGCTATTCTGGAGGTAGGAATAGAACCTAAAAGTCTCAACAATATAGCTCCAATGCTTCTTTAGTTTCATCTTTCAACCATTCTGTCACTATGCCATCCTCATAACAAAGAATTTCACTTTTTAAGTTCAATGCAGGAAAGCATTTACCATTATCCCTAGTGATGGTTTTACTTGTTAATTTCCATTCCAGTTTATTGCTAAATAAGTATCTTTTACTTTTATCAAGAGCTTTTTCTTCACTTGTGTTCTGCTTCTTTGAGAAATAACATTCTAGTAATGCAGGGAAGTCAGGAATCAGAGTGGACTGGACCAGGCGACTTAAAATAGCCCTTGGTGCAGCTAGAGGTCTGGCATATCTTCACGAGCTTGCAAATCCTCCCATCATTCATAGGGACATCAAGTCGACCAACATCTTATTAGATGAACGCTTAAATGCTAAAGTTTCTGATTTTGGTCTATCCAAACCTATGGGTGATAGTGAAAAGGGTCATGTTACTACTCAAGTGAAAGGTACAATGGTGAGTTCTTCCATACACGTTCTCAAGTAGATAATATAGCCTTTTTATATGGTAGAAACCTGCTACTTTTTGTAGTTATCTTTAGTTTATTTTCTTTCTGCAGTAGAGACTGATATTCTCTACCCCTTAGTCATTGCTTCTTTTATAGATGATGTATTCATTCATGCATTTGAGCATCTGCTGCAACCACAGTAGTTTTACTATATGAAATTTGCATAATAATTCTCTAGATGAATTCGATTTTTCTAAAGGGACCAAAGAGGCAATGATTAAAAGTTTCCAAGGGAGAGGAGAATTAGCGGACATTAAAAACTGTCTAAGCCTCTTTATCTCCAAAGTGGAATCACCTTGCAAAACACCATGTCAAATATGTATAATATGCATGCATGATTTGGGATTTTAAATAAAAAATGCAACAATTTCTATAATTATGACAAACTGGATTTTGAGTTTAACAAATTTCCTCAGAAAAAAGAAGGATAAAGTAAAGTGCTTCATGAAATTTGTTTGACTATTGGATAAGGTGTTTACTGATAACTCTATATAAATGCAAATAGTATGTGATGTCCTAAGAATTACTTTGTTACTGTTGTAGGGTTATTTGGATCCTGAATATTATATGACCCAGCAGTTGACTGAGAAGAGTGATGTTTATAGCTTTGGAGTGCTGATGTTGGAGATAATAACTGCAAGAAGACCAATAGAGAGAGGGAAGTATATTGTAAGAGAGGTGAGAATGTCAATGGTCAAAACGAAAAGTTTGTATAATCTCCAAGAGATTCTTGACCCGACCATTGGTTTGAGTACAACGCCCAAAGGCTTGGAAAAGTTTGTGGACTTAGCAATGAGTTGTGTAGCAGAATCAGGGGCTGATAGGCCTACAATGGGTGAAGTGGTGAAAGAGATTGAAAGCATTATGCAGCTGGCTGGCATGAATCCCAATGCAGAATCAGCCTCAACGTCAGCAACATATGAGGATGCAACCAAGGGAGCTTCTCTCCATCCATACAGTGATGAGTCTTTTGCTTATAGTGGGGCCCTCCCAGCCTCCAAGATAGAGCCCCATTGACTGTGGGTTTCTTTTACTATGTTTTATCAGCAATGGACTTAGTAACAGTGAGTAAGAGCTGCTTCTATTTTTTTTACTGTTACTTCTTTAATTATGTGGGATCTTTTTCTTGTTATGATTAAACTGTAATTAGAATGAATACTTTATATGTAAATAGGCAATACAATATTTTATACAAATGCTCTTAGTAATTTATTAAATGAAGTTTGGCCAATTCTTAATTCCTATTATATTAAGGCTCTGTTTGATTAACTGAAATAAAATTTTGAAAATTAAATATTTTTTGTGAAAAAAACTTGACTAGAGAAATAGTATATTTCTCATTTCTATTTTTATTTAAAGAAAAAATCTTATAATTTGTAATTTTTTTTAAAAAAATCTTTAATAAATCTAAGTATATTAAATTATTATTAAGCAAAAAATCATATTTGCCCAATTGAATTGTTGGAAGTTACTTTTATGCATTTATTATGAATTATAATTTATTATTATTCTAATTCAGTTATGCCAATAGTTTTTGAAAGTTATCATCTAATCCAGTCAGAGCAAATAAATTTTATTTGTCATACCAGAACCATACTTCTATTCTATCGTGATCGTGGTTTCTATAGCAGTTACGAGGATAACAAAGTTACACAAGAAGTTCTCGCGGGAATGAATTTTTTTTTTTAAATCACAATTTTTACAAAAAAAAAAAATCAACTTATTTGTAAACCTCAATGCAATATCTTCATATAATAATAGTATTTAAAGTGATTTTACTCGCTTAGAATAATAAAAAAAATTAAGGTCAAAATCAGTAAATAAAATCAAATAAATACAACTAAAACAGAATCAAAGTTGGATGAAAAGAATAAAACAATAATTTTCTGATACTCCAAAACTACATGATGTTCTTTTGATGCAGCATGAAATCCAGTAGAATCCAAATCCTTACACTAAAAATTTTGTAACCTTAAGGTAATTCACAGAGCCAACTCAAATTATTAAAATCATATTCTAAAATTAAATATAAATACTAATATGAGTCTAAAACATAGGCTATTAAAAATAACTAAAGTCACTAAAACTAAAAAATCAATAAACTAAAATATTTTAAAAAATAGGTAATTTTAAATAGAATATGATGATACAAAATGAAAATGATATAAAACTGAACATATTTGGATCTTGCAAAAATATGTTTTGTGTTTAGACGTGTATAATTTTTTAATCATAAACATGTTTGACATGTTTAACATATGTAAAACACATATAACATGTTTGATTAAACTGTGTTAAACAAGTAAACTTTTAACATATTTATTTACGTTCATTTAAATTTTATATAAGCATAAATACTATTTTAATGGAAGGTTTTACTTATATATAGCTTAATTGAATGGTTGGGTTGTAATTTCCGTTAACAAATTAGGATAAATTTTACTCTAAGCTAATAACCGGATAATATTAACAAATTAGGATTTCCTTGAGATTTTTACCCAATTATTATGATTTAAAAACTTATTTCACTATATATCGTGCTTTTGAACTTATTTCTCAATTTATAATAATTTTAGGGTTAGTGTCATAAATGACTTTTAAATTATAATAAAATGTTTAATGTGGTATCTAAACTTTAAAAATCTTTAATGTGGTATTTGAACTATAAATCTATTAACTAATGTAGTACTCACTCGTAGAGTGTTTAGTTTCAAATGATGATACGTAACAGACAAATAACCTTCTAAGTACTACATTAATTAATAAATTCATAGTTCAGATATCATATTCAAGATTTTTAAAATTCAAATACTACATTAAATATTTTATTATAATTTAAAGACTATTCATAACATTATCGCATAATTTTTACCATGTCATATTCTTAATTTGGGAGTTTAAAAAAAAAAAAATGAAAGGGAGTTGAGTTTTATCCTAACTTTGTATCCCTCTTTCCATTTTTTTTCTCTACATATTTCCATTAACAAGGACGAAAGCAGGCAAAGCAAGACTTTTCTCTCTTTCAAAGTGAGAAAAGGTAAACCAAACAAATCTAAGTAGCACTTTTTTTCAACTTTCCTAAACTAGCAATTGATCCTATATGGATTGGCAACTCATTATCTACCTAACTAGCCAAAACTTTTAAGTAGCATTTGGTATCATTTTCAAAATCACTATAGTGATCTAATTACCATGGTGATAAGATTACCAAGGTGATTGGATCACCAGTGATCTTAGATTATCATATTTAGTATAATATTATAAATCATTAGTGATTTTAAATTACTGTATTTGGTATTGGATGAAAAATTAAATCATAGAATATAAAATATCGAAAATAACTTTTAAAAAAGTAAAAAATTTAATACTTATTGAATCAATAATTTATAAAATAGTTAAATGTTATTTTATAGACAACTATAAAGTATAAATCAATTTTGATGAAAAATAATTCATAAAAAATTATTAAATAAATTTATTATTTTTATAATCAATAAACATTTATTCAATTGTTTAAAATAAGTTATTAAAAAATAGATTTTTGAAAAATTTTACTAGTTAGCTTTCTAAGGTAATGTTAAGTATATCTTTCAGATAAATTAGTAAAAAATAATAATATTGAAAATTACTTTCCCATGGTCTTAAAATTTCCTCATCCTCTAGATTTAGAATCATATAACCCTAAATGTAGTGATCTTATCACCCCAGTAATTTAAGATTACTACCACATAGGATTTTTAAATTGTTACCAAATAAGGAGATGTAATTACTAAATGCAGATCATTGTGGTTTTTAGACAAATCACCTTATATCAAGCACTCTTATGTTTATCTGCTTTGTACTATACACATATTTGTCCCAATGTTTTCTTCACATTGGAAAGACTTTCCTCTTTTTTCTTTATACATTGATTAGAAAAAGCATTGAGAAATATCTATGTGTTTATGCCGAGCTCCAAGCTGATGGGTAAAACTCTAAAATCACAAAAGGAAGAAAGAGAGCAGTTAAAGGCAAAGACTAGGAGTTTTTCTAACAATTGCATTCTGATGCTCAAGTCAAAGGTAGGTTAAAATGAAGATAGGAAGGAGAAAGTGTAAAAATAGAAAAGTATGAGATATCTAGATAATACTTAAGTAATCCTATTTATAATTGAGGGTGAGAGGTTTTGAGGCAACCTAGGCTGCCTACAGTTAGGCCTGTGGCTAGGATGATCTGGTTGGTCGAGCTAGCCTAGACGTTGATCATCTATTCAGGAAGTGACAAATCAACATAAAAATGAAGCTTTTTGGATGGATTGATGAGGTGGCTGAGTTGATGTGACACTATACATGTCAGGTCAACCTAAAAGTCATAAATGCCTCTAGCTATTTGTTGGTAGTCTCTAATGGGAAAAAATGCCATTTTTCCTTTAAGACCCAAAAATGCCCCTAACATTTTATCCTTTCACTGAGCAGTCTAAGTCTTAAACTATTAAGTGTAGTCTTGGCCGATTTAGCTTGTGCTGATCTGATGCGTGCTTGACAATGTCAAGCTTAATTTTGACTATGGGCTTCAAAATTTATGTTTAATTAATTCGACTTGAAGTTACCAAAGATGGCTGGTTCACACCCTCTTTGAAGATAATCACACCAGTATTTTTGCATCCATTTATCGAGAATTAGGCCTTACACATCTGTTGTCTCTCCTTGGCACCATTTTTCCAAACGCGAGGCTAGAGATCTATGAGGCAAAAGACTTGGACTACAACACCATCCTCAAGGCAGTAGAGGGATGCCAGGGTGTGTTCCATGTGGTCTCTCTCTGAACTCTAGAGGATCTGAAAGACAATAAAAGAGAGCTCATGTGGTCAGCTGTTTAGGGAATGATTTGGAATAGCAACATGATACCGGTGTAGTGGCCACTATTTTGCGGTAGCACCACTTTTTATTTGCCATTACTATTCCATTAAAAATGATTAAAAATTTTATTCACATTTGTAGCGGCGTAATAGCGGTAAAAAAATAGAGTAACGATTGATAGCAAAAATAACGACCTGTTATTACTGTTAATCTATTTTTCATCCAAAAAAATTTATAAAATAACCAAACATTGTCTAATTCAATAACAAAAAACCTGAAAAACATAGAGAAAGAACCTTAGACCTACAACATCCACTCAAAATTTAGCCTCAATCAAACTCAATAAAGATCAAGAACAAATAATTGAAGGTAAGTAACATTGACAAATAATCTAACTTGAGCTAATTTGGCTTTAACAGTGTGATATAATCTTAGACTTCAACATGCTCGTAGTGGTTAGAAATTTGATGCCAAGCGGAGAAAAAAAAAGAAGGTGGTTGCTGCTGTTGAGACGTGGTGGCCATTAGGTTGTTAGTTCATAGTGGTTGGTAGAATTGTAGAATATAGAGAAAAAATATGGAAAAATAAAAGCCAGGGAATAATTAGACAAATCTTCAAGTGCACAGGTCGTATAGGTAATAATAGTGATCATTTGGTCAAGATATTGTCTCACAGAGATTAGGTAAAAAATTTCTAAGTATGTATCTATTATCCCCACACCCTTCTAAAGTTGGTTTGATCAAAGAATAAACATGAAAATTAAGCTATTCTAAGAAAATAAAATCAAATAAGACATCACACATGCTTATGTAAACAAAGTAAAAGAATGCACATGCAAACTAAGTAAACTAAAGGAAATTGTAAAAACCATAGCTAAAATATAAGGCAATGAATTGAAACAAAATAGAAATTAAAGTGATGTAAATGCAAGAATTAAAGAAGACATTGGAAACTATACTTTAATGCTAAACATGAAAAATAAAAAAGCAACAACAAAATTGGATCTAACATGCTTTAAATTGAGTAAAATTGAATTGTAATTACAAGAACTATGAGTGAACTAAAGTAAAAATAGAATTAAAGTACATGCTATGAAAGAAAATTGCAAGATCTAAGCTAAAAACATGAAAATAGAAAGCACATTTGAAAACTAGAAACTAACAATTCATAGAAGAAAAATTAGATTTACAATTTTTAAAGGGAATGAACTTAAATTGAGCTAGGGTAAGCTAAATCAACAAGTTTACTATAAAAATAAGAAAATCATAGCAAAATAGAAGAAATCAAGTTCAATGAAGTAGCAATTCTAGATCAACTCAAAATAAAGTAAAATAAAACACTGTCAACAAAATT